TTTTTTTTTAAGACAGAGTCTCAGTATGTAGTTCAGACTGGCTTTGAGCTCACTATTAGCTCACCCAGGCTGGGTGGTGATCCTTCTGCCTCAGCCTTCCAAGTGTTGGGATCACAGGCATGTGCCACCATGCCTAGCACTTTTTCGTATTTTTAGTTCTGAGGATGGAATCCAGGCCCTTACACATGCTAAGCAAGAGCTCTATCACTGAGCTATATACCCCAACCCCAATTTAAGCAATCTTTTGGACTAGGTATTATATAAATATGGATTAGAAAACTTTGAAAATCCTTTAAATATAAGAAAGTATAGAAACTGGGTGCAATAGTACAGGACTGTAACCCCAGCATCTGGAAGGCCAAGGCAGGATCACAAGTTCGAGCCTGGCTTAGGCAACTTAATGACTTAGAATAAAAAAAAAAAGGGCTGGGGATGTAACTCAGTGTGAAGGCCATGGATTCCATCTCCAGTACTGGAAAAAACCAAAAAGGTGTAGAATGAGACGTAAGATTTAATAGGTCCAAGCATTCAGGTTTGTAAGATTAAAGGGGTTCTGGAGCTTGAGGCTTTGATAGCTGCACAGCCGTGAGAACGTTTTATGTATTTTTACCACAAGTTTTTTGAGAAGGTCCCGGGATAAGAGCTAGGGAAGGAAAGGAAAAGAAGGAAGAAAGGGAAGGGAAAAAGGAAAGAAGGCTTTGCATTTTGGGGGTAATGTTTTGCATTTTTGTTGTTAGTGCCAGGGATCAAACCCCACCTGAGGCCTTGCCACAAGCTAGACACATGCTCTATCACTGAGTTATAGCCTCAGCCCCAAATTTTATTGTTTTAAAATGTGGAATAATGTTTTTTTAACATGGGAAATGTGGTATATAGTATACTACATTTTGTTTATCCAATGGTTCCTTGATGGAAACTTGGTGCGTTTCTGCCTTTGGTTATTGGAATAGCACTGCTATGAACTTGGGTGCACAGAGTGCCTTGTTCTTTTATACAGCTGCATAACACTCCGTCCCAGAATGTCCCTGTTTATCTAACCAGATTGGCAGGCATTCACTTGGCTGTGTCCAATAGTCCTTTGCTGTTGCAATAGTACTGTCATCAGTGCCAAGATCCATTCCAGTCCATACTGGAGGAGGGTGGAAAAAAGCAGGGCATGCCTGACCCTGTCCCTCCTGACACACAGCCTCCTCTGCCTCCTGCAGGCTGTGAACGCTGCCAAGTATGGGGTGGCTGGGGTGCTGGTGTACACGGACCCTGGTGACATCAACGATGGTCGCAGCTTCCCCAACGAGACCTTCCCCTACTCTTGGGGCCTGCCTCCCTCTGGTGTGGAGCGGGGCTCCTACTATGAATATTTCGGGGACCCTGTGACTCCCTACCTTCCAGCACACCCCTCTTCCTTCCGCCTGGACAGCAACAATGCCTCCGGATTTCCCCCCATCCCGGCACAGCCCATCGGCTTCCGGGACGCTGAGGACCTGCTCTGGTGAGCCTGTCCAGGCCCCTACCCACACACAGCCTGCATGCATCAGGCCATACTCGCATTTACCCAGGGCCTCTTTCCCCCCAGCAACCTCCGGGGGCTCCCAGCCCCAGTGTCCTGGAAGGGTGCGCTGCACTGTGAGTACCACCTGGGCCCTGGTTTCAAGTCTGGTGAAAATTTCACTGCAGACAGGTGAGGTGGCCTGGCTCTCCCTAGCTCTCCTCTTCCCTGTTACTTTTCCTCCTTCCTACGTTTGCCTCTTCCCACCTCAAGGTCTGGCCTCTCCCTTTCTTCTTCCCTAACTCCCCTAACCCTCAAATCTGTCTTGCCTTCGGGGGAAGCTGCGGAAACAGCTACATGGCCCAGGTGGTCCCAAGAGTTTCCCCTACCCGGCCCACTCAGCTCCATATTCCTACCTCTCCCTCTTGACTCCCCATCAGCCTCTGCCACTCCTACCTGGGGTCAGCCCCCCACCTGCAGTGTCCCTGGCCTCCCAGGCCCTTTACTCCCTGTGGTCTGCCTGGTTCAGAAGAGGGAGGACCATGGGGCTGGGTCCCCATCTGTCTCAGTCACTGCAGAGTTTAGTAGGTGGCCGGGGGTTTGTGAGGTGCCTGTTGTGAGAGGGTGAATGCAAAGCAGGGTTCCAACTGGAAGAGCTGGGCTCCAGCCTGCTACCTCGCCTGCTCTAGGAAAGTGACTATGTCTCCTTCACTTCCTGGGCCTCGGTTTCTCCTGCACTGAGTAGGGGGACAGAGGATAGGGTGAAGGCTCTTGTTTCCCCAGCCAGGTGAAAGTGAGTGTCCACAACCGCCTGGAGCTAAGGAACTCCTCCAATGTCCTGGGCATCATCCGAGGGGCTGTGGAGCCTGGTGAGCTCTCTGCACACACACTGTGCCCCAGGACCCTGCCAGCCTGAGTGCCTGGACACTCCCTCTCCTGCCTCACTGGGTCCTACTCTGGCCACAGCCCTGCCTGGCAACCCTGCCACCCCTCTCCTTCTCTGCCTCCCTGACTGTGTCCCTTCTGCCAGATCGCTATGTGGTGTATGGAAACCACCGCGACAGCTGGGTACATGGGGCTGTGGACCCTAGCAGTGGCACTGCTGTCCTCCTGGAGCTATCCCGAGTCCTGGGGACCCTGCTGAAGAAGGGTGAGACAGCCCTCTCCCCATCCAGTGGCTCCGTGCCCTGGGTCCCCACTGACCCACTGCTTCCTGAGCTGGTGACATCTCAGCCCACCTCCAGCACCCATCTGTGACAGGTCTGAGGGTCCTGGGGGCAGAGATGCACAGGCCACCAGCCCTGGCCTCCGGGAGTCCAGAGCAGCTTGAGGGAAGGACTATTCACTGATATGCATGGCAATGTGCCCAGATGGAGCTAGGCCCCATGCCACTGTGACAGGGCAGTGCCTAGGCTCTTCCTGCCGTGTACCAGGCTATCTAGGGGAAGGTCTTCCTTTAGCCCTTGAGCCCCACAGGGAAGGACAGGCAGGGAGGCAGCAGCTGGGAAGGAGGCTGCAGGGGATGGAGCGGGCAGGGCCAGTCCCAGAGATGGAAGAACCCAGCTGGGGAGTGTGGAGTTTGGTCCTGGTGGGAAGCTGGGGGATGATTAGAATCAGGATGCAGCAAAGGGAAGGCAAGCTTTAAATGCCGTCTGTGCCCCACTGGGGAAAGGTCTTTGTGTAGGGACAAGCCTGAGGCGTTGTCCTCCTCAGGGGTCCAGGCACTGGGGGCTTGGACCAGGCTTGGGGACAGTGTACTGGCCAGGGGTCTGCAGGCTGAGGGGAAAACAAACAGGGCTTGAGCGCAGGTCTAGAGAGAAGATGAGAATTCCACTCTTCACCAGTTTATTCCTTTTTGTAGTTTTAAAAATTGTGTCAAAATATACATAACAAAATTTACCACATTTACAACTTTCCATTTTTAAGTGTTCAGTTCAGCAGCATTAAGGACATGCACAGTTTGGCCAACCATTGCACCACCCTCCATCTCCAGATCCATTTCATCCCCTGACACACACATCCTGAAGGGCTGACCTTGGATGTGAACCAACACGGACTTAACTTCAGCTGCACATAGAACCGCATGCCTAGCAAGCTCCATCCCCTCCATTTTGTTATTGATGTCAGAAATTCCTTTCTTTCTTTCTTTCTTTCTTTCTTTCTTTCTTTCTTTCTTTCTTTCTTTCTTTCTTTCTTTCTTTTTTGAGACAGGGCCTCATTTTTTAGTTCAGGCTGACCTTGAACTCACTATATAGCTCAGGTTGGCCTCGAACTCATGGCAATCATTCTGCCTCAGCCTTCAGAATGTTGGGATTACAGGTGTGTGCCACCATGTCTGGCCCTATTTTTTTTTTTTTGGTACCAGGGATCAAACTCAGGTCCTTGTGCTTGCACAGCAGGTGGCGAAACCACTGAGCTAAATCCCCGGCCCCCTCTATTTTTATTTTGTAATATTGGAGATTGAACCCAGAGCCTCATGCTGGTTAGGCAAGTGGTCTGCCACTGAGCTACATCCCAACTCCTTTTAAAAACGTTTTATTTTAGGGCCAGGGATTTAGCTCAGTGGTTTTGCCACCTGCTGCGCAAGCACAAGGACCCAAGTTCGATCCCCGCTACCAAAAAAAGTTTTATTTTGGGCCAGGGATGTAGCTCAGTGGTGCTGTGCCTGCCTTGCAAGCGCAAGGTCCTGAGTTCGAGCCCCTGTACTGCAAAAAAAAAAAAAGTTTTATTTTGAGACAGAGTGTTGTTAAATTGCCCAGACTGGCCTCTAACTTGTGGTCTTCCTGTCTCAGCTTCCCAGTAGCTGGGATTACAGGTGTGCACCACCACATCTGGCTATCTTTCTTTTGTTTGTTCAAGGGTTTTATTTTGAAATATTTTGGACTTAACTGCAAAAATAGTACAAAGGAGCCTTGTATGCCCTTCACCCCAAAACTCCCAACTACTGATGCTTCACTATGTTTGCTATCTATTTATATTTTTCTGAAGTATTTAAAAGATGTAGAAGTGTTGAACTTTTATCCATAATCACATCAGTGCATATTTCCTAACAAGGACATTCTTTCTGGGCATGATGGTGCAGGCCTGTAATTCCAGTACTCTGGGAGGATGAGGCAGGAGGATCAAAAGTTCAAGCCCAGCCTGAGTAACTTGGTGAGACCATGCCTCAGAATAAAAAATACAAAAAAACAGCTCAGTGTGAAGGCCTTGGGTTCAATCCCTAGTACCACACACACACACACACACACACACACACAAAGATATTTTTTCTTTTTATATAACTATAGTAAGATGATCAGAATCAGAAAATTAATGATTTTGTCAATTGTCCCAATAATGACTTTTATAGCAAAAGAATCTTCTGGTCCAAGATCCAGTGGGGGAATCACATAGTGATCGCTTGCCTTCTTTCATCTGCAGTAGTTCCTTAGCTATTCTTTGTCTTTCACAATCCAGATGTTTTGACTCATGTTCCTCCATTTTTCTGATTAGATTTGGGTTATGAATATTTGGCCAAAAAAAGTGGGGATTTGTAATTGCAAGCACGTAACCATGTTATACTTCAGACTTTTTCATTTAAAACAAAAAGGTGAGTTGAAAGCAAGGCCCCCACGGTCTTGGGGAGGGGGATGGGGGCCGTGGCAAGAGCAGTGTCGGCACTGCAGGTGGCACAGGGTGCAGGATGCTGTGGGGGCCAGTATGGCACCGGCTCTGCTGCCTACCAGCTGTGACCCTGTGGCTCAGTTTCTTCAACGGTGAAATAGAAAGATATTATTGTGAGCATTGAACCGGGGCATATAGGCTTTAGGGGAACATTGTGTATCAGTAGCCAATGTCGTATGGGTTGTGTGGAGGGTCGGGAAGGCTCCCCAGTCATGCCTGGTGCACACCTGTGTGCAGGGGTGGGGGATGACTTCGTTGACCCAGGAAGTCAGGTGTTGGGGTGTCACAGAGAGGAGGCTGGAAAAATGACAGTCTCCAGGAAGGACTAGCTGAGGGGTGCCAGGCCCTCCTGTCACCGCTACTCCACTCTTCCCAGCTTTCCCCACCTCCCCACGTCTCCAACCTTTCCCCTAAACCACCTCAGAATGGAGGGAGGACGCTGCCCTCCAAGCTCTTATGCCCTTGCGCCAGGCACCTGGCGTCCCCGCAGATCGATCGTGTTAGCCAGTTGGGGAGCAGAGGAGTTTGGGCTCATTGGCTCCACTGAATTCACAGAGGTGAGTGAGCCCCACAGGGTAGGGGGTGGAAAGGGGGTTTCGGGAAGGGCAGCGTCGAACTGAGGCATCCCCACCCCGGCCGCAGGAGTTCTTCAGCAAGCTGCAGGAACGCACGGTGGCCTACATCAACGTGGACATCTCGGTGTTCGGTATGGGGTGGACGCTGGGTGGCGCTAGCCTTTGAGGGGATCGGCAAAGGAAGGGGCTGGGGATCCATAGTCTTTCTCTTTGTTTCTCTCACAGCCAATGCTACCCTTAGGGGGCAGGGGACGCCCCCTGTCCAGAGTGTCATTTTCTCTGCAGCCAAAGAGGTACGAGGAGGCTGGGGGGAGCTGATGTTGAGAGGCGGGGCTATATGGGATGGCCGGGGCCAGGGCAGCCTTGTAAGACCGGCAGATCGAAGAGGGTCTGGAGCCTGGCGTCCCTGGTGAAACCTGGAGGTTTTGCCTTACTGTTTGGGTTGGAGAGGGTCCAGCACCATTCCTTTCTGAGCCAGATCAGCTCACCGGGCTCCAGCGGTCTCAGTATCTATGACAACTGGATCCGGTACACCAACCGCAGCAGCCCAGTGTACGGCCTGATCCCCAGGTAAGACCAGGGCCCAGACAGGCCCCAGCCCCAGCCAGATGGGCCCACCCTGTGCCCTCCAACACTGTTCCCTTCCTTTCCTTTCTGCAGTATGGGCACACTGGGTGCCGGCAGTGACTATGCGCCCTTCATTCACTTCCTGGGCATCTCTTCCATGGACATCGCCTACACCTATGACCGGGTGAGCAGGCACCCGAGTACCCCGCCCAGTCCCCTCCAATCCCACAGGCTGCTCTAGTACTGACTGGGACCTACTTCTTTCGACTCAGTTGGTGTGATACCTAGGCCATGTTTCTGAACCTCTCTGATCATGCATTTACACTCTTCTGTTACCTTATCACATACTGATTGTAAGATGTATTATTGTGTTACGCATTATTTAAGGAGAAAAGCACCTGCTGCCAATCAGTTGTAGGATGATATTGGCTATAAGAAACACTAAGATCTTTTTTTTGGTTCCGGGGATCAAACTCGGGACCTTGTGCTTCCCAGGCAGGCAGCAGAACCACTGAGCTAAATCCCTGGCCCTAAGAAACACTAAAATCTTAAAACATGGTATATGGGGAAGGTGGATTTTATCTCAGCCTTTATTAAACAATGGTGTGAAATTAGGCAGATTTAGGAACTGGCGTGGGGGTGCGATGAGATGAGGGATTCAGTGTGCCCAGCTGGTGTCCCTATTTGATGCTCCCCTAAACCCTTTCTCTTATGGTCATACTACTTCTTGGTCATGGAGCTGGGATTAAAGTCCCCCTGACTCCAAAGTTTCAGCTTCTTCCTGTGAAAAGGAACTCAAACCAGCTCTACCTCTTATTTAGCTGTGTGACACCAGGCAGGCTAATCTGAGCCTGTTTTCTCCTCTTTAAGATGGGAATTCTAGAAACCTCCTGGTGGATGAGCCAAGGACTCAGTGAGTCGATGTCTACACACTATGGCTCACTGTGGGCACATCTTCCACTTCCCACCCCAAGTTCATCACCTCTGTGCTTTGTTCCCTCAGAGCAAGACCTCGGCCCGGATCTACCCCACCTACCACACAGCCTTCGACACCTTAGAATACGTGGAAAAGTTTGTAGATCCTGGTGAGGAGGAGGCAGGGGTATCCTGAGACTGCCCAAGGAGGATGGGCTGCAGACCTAGTCCTGGCCTTTTCGTCCTCCCGGCAGACTTCAGCAGCCACCAAGCCGTGGCCCGGATGGCAGGAAGTGTGCTTCTTCGGCTCAGTGACAGCTTCTTCCTGCCCCTCAAAGTCAGTGACTACAGTGAAACCCTCCGCAGCTTCCTGCAGGCTGCCCAGCAAGACCTTGGGGCCCTCTTGGAGCAGCACAGCATCAGCCTGGGTATGACCCCCCCAGACACACAGAGGCCTAGGGAGCCCTGCCTGATCCCCAGGGCTAAGCCAGTGCGTGGGTGTTCCTCTCAGGGCCTCTGGTGACTGCAGTGGAGAAGTTTGAGGCAGCAGCCACAGCCTTGGGCCAGCGCATATCAGACCTGCAGAAGGGCAGCCCTGAGTAAGCAAAAGGAGTGGGCAGGTGTCAGGGAGGGCACAGCCAGGTGCTGCAGACTGCTGGGTGACCAGTAGGTCCTGCCTCCCCCCAGCCCCCTGCAGGTCCGGATGGTCAATGACCAGCTGATGCTCTTGGAACGGACATTCCTGAACCCACGAGCCTTCCCCAAGGAACGCTACTATAGGTGAGCCTGTCCCAAAGCTCCTGAAGTGGGGCTGGACGATGGCCACCTGCCTGAGGGAGGAGGATGTCAGATATGCTGCTTTAGAGGACAATCCAGCTGCTGAGACAGTTAACGAAAGCGAAGCTCAGGGAGGGGAGGCACACTGGTCACAGCTGAAACGACAGTCTACCTGTCCTCCCAGAACCACAGCTGTAAGCCCCACTGTCAGAGATAGGCGGAAGGGACTTTTGTGCCTGGCTAGGCATGGCAGCAGAGTGACCCCCACCCGGACCCTCATCCTGACCCTTTTCTCATCAGCCACGTGCTCTGGGCACCCCGGACAGGCTCTGTTGCCACATTCCCTGGCCTGGCCAATGCCTGCTCCAGGGCCAACACCCCCCATGGATCTGAAGAATGGGCTGAGGTGCACAGGCAGCTCAGCATTGTGGTGGCAGCCCTGGAGGGTGCAGCAGCCACCCTGAGGCCTGTGGATGACCTCTGACCCCAACCTTCTGTCCTAACCTTCTCCCACTTGTTTTCATGGGGTGTTTTCCCTGAGGCCAGGAGTGGACATAACCATGGTATCCTCTCAAGCTTCTAAGGTAACAGCTGGGGCTTCCACCACCTGCAGACACCCAAGAGGAGAACCCAGCTCCCAATGAGTTTTGCTCTTTGTGGGCAGAGTAAACAGACAGGTGGAGAATGGAAAGACAAGGAACTGTTCACGATGCTGGGTGGGTAAGATAAGATGCATAATGCCAGTCCTAGATGCCAACTCAGAGACCACCAAGTCTACCCCTCAGGCTCCAGCAGGGAAATTGAGCCCTAGCGTGGACAGGACCTTGCCAAGTCTGCTTTCCCCTCTCCTCATGTTTAGTGTCTCATCACCCCTCTATGCATCCCAAGTAAATAAAGTCTGATTAGTCCCTATAAAACAAGCTTGTTTTATTGTCTGGGAACCATGAAAACAGAAACCTAATTGCTCTGACCCAGTCCTCTGGGCGAGGTACATCCTCCACATGCAGGGGACACTGGTCTGTGCACCACCTCATCTTCCTCCTCGGTCATGACCACCTCCTCCAAAGTGCGCCCTTGGAGCTTGCTCCCCACTAGCGCATGGCAGGTCCCAGCAGGCGGCAGCCCTTCCTCAGCATAGTGGCCCCTCAGGAACACAACCCTCTCCTCTCCGTCCAAGGGCAGCCTGTGGGCCTGGCACAGGTCTCGCGCTTCGTGGAGCCCATCCAGGGCCAGTAGATGGACCATGAAGCCCAAAGGCAATATCTGCCCCTTAGGGGTGCTCAGGGCACGAGTGAGGCGGGCTAGGGCAAGGCGGCGGGCATGGCCCACATGGCCCTGCACAGCACAGCTCTGAAGGTAGGGCAGGGTCCGGAGCAGGCGGAACAGGCGGGCAGTGTTGCCCTCTCGGAAGGCAGAATCCACAGCGAGGGCCATACGCAGGGCTGGGGAGGCACGCAGGGTGGCAGGAAGCTGCAGGACCTCACACAGGGCTTCTGTGGAGCCTGAGAGGATGGGAAGCTGGCTTGAGGACGCCAGGGCCTTCTTGACTTTCCTACTGCCTCGGCTGCCAGTTTGGGAGCTGGCTCTCTCACATCTTCCCCTGTCTGCTAGGGAAGGCCACTTCTTGGAAAAGACTCTTTTTGGGCTTCTTTTCCAGGAAATCACTGTAACCTTGGGACACTTTTGTAAACTGAGGCTTTTGACCCAATAGTGAGTTGTGAAATCAACATTTCATGACAATTAAACAGAATTTACTAGCTGGATGTGGTGGCAATTTCAAGGCCAGATTGGGCTACATAGCAAGTTCAAGGCCAGCATGACCTATGTGAGACCCTGTCTCAAAAAACAAATGAACAAAGTTTGAAAATCGCGATTTAGGCCAATTTTCCTACCTTCCCCCTCCACTTTCATTAAGAAAACCAAGCCTAAGGGGCAGGGATTTAGCTCAGTGGTTTCGCTGCTTGCTGTGCAAGCGCAAGGACTGGAGTTCGATCCCCAGTACCAACAAAAAAGAAAACCATGCCTAGAATTGGGAAAGGGGAGGCCCGAGGTCTCACGTGGGAGCTGGTGGCTCTTGGGCACTAACTTTCCTGGGAGGGAGCAAATGGTATTTTTCTTTTCTTTCCTTCCAATTCTGCTGTGTTGCTGAGCAACATCACTAGCCCCTAAACGGTGAGGTGTTTTGTTTTGGTACTGGGGATAGAACCCACGGCCTTCACATTGTGCTACATTCCCAGTCCTTTATTTGAGGCAGAGTCCCGCCAAGTCACTAAATTGCCTGTGCTGGGCTTGAACCTGAGATCCTCCGGCCTCAGCCTCCCGGAGTGGCGGAATTACAGAGGTGTACCACATGCCCGGGGAATGGTGAGATTTTAAAGCTTTTTCCTTCCTCTGGCTCCACTGTCCTCATGGTGGGCTCCCCATCCCCACACTGCAAGGACCCGACTCACCCAAGTTATAGAGCAGAAAGAGGCCCTGGAAGGTGGCCTGGCGGGGGTGCGGCCCTCCACTCTTTGCGTAGCAGCGCCGTAGAGATCCGAAGCTCTCCTGCACCTGGGTCTGCAGCAGCACTGCGTCAACCGGCCCGCGCGCCCCGTCCGGCCCGAGACGCGCCACCACGGCCAGCAGCGTGGCCAGCGCGGCCTCCAGCACCACTGCCACCTCGGCGTGGCCGGCGCCTTGTAGGGCCAGGTCCAGCCGCACCGCGCGCAGGCGGTCCGCCACGAAGCTGGCCACCTCCGCGCGGCACGCGCCGGCGCTGTCGGCTACCTGGCTGGCGAGGTAACGGACGGTAGCCAGAAGCACGGAGGGCGGGCGCAGTTGGGTGGGCGGGGGCGGGGGCTTGCCGGCGGCCGGCCGGCGGTACTCCTTCACGGTGCGCTGCGGGTCTGCGCGCGGCGGGCCCCCATGGCACCCTGGCGCCACCTCCAGGTGGTGCAGGCGGCGCTCCCTTTCGCGCTCAGCGCGCTCGGCGGCCGGGCACATATCCGGGCAGATGCCCAGGGGAAGCTCACAGCCGGGCATGGGTGGGCTGTGGGAAGAGGGTGGGTGGTCAGCATTCCGGGGCGGAACACCCAGTTCTTCCGAAGGCCCACCGCGTCCTGGGGCCCGCGAGAGATGTGGGACCGGGGAGAGCTTGGCTAAGCGCGTTTTCTCGCCCGGCCTCCAGCGCCCGGTCGCCGTCTTAACCAGACACTGGGGAGCCGGTATCCCGAGATGCAAAGCGGCGTAGTCTACGCCCGTACAGTTCCGCAAGGTCAGTTGACGCTACGTTCCCCACAATGCACCGCAATTTAAAATTGTAGGCCTACGCCTTCCCAGATGCGCCGATTTGTAGTGCTTTCAGCAACCAATCGCTTAAGCGAAGGGAGGGGCAACGACAGGCCACGCCTCCCCGGCCATGCTCCGGTTTAGCCCATTAACTGGATAGCTAGCTCTAGCACCTCCAAAATTTGTACACCTGGTTTCAGTTTCTCTTCTTCGTATTCCTCCTTTTTGTTTTTGGTGTTTTGGAGATTGAATCCAAGGCCTTTGCACTGAGTTATATCCCCCAACTCTTTTATTTTTTGGGATAGGGTCTAACCAAATTATCCAGGTTGGGCTTGAATTTGTGATCTTCCTATCCCAGCCTCCCAGAGTGCTAGGATTACAGGCATGCACCACCGCGCCTGGTTTAGGTTTCTCTTCATCCCTGTCACCCAAAAAAATTGGCTCATTGGCCTACCGTCCTGTACTGTCTCCCTCAAGATATTCTTTCTAGATCAGAGGCCAATAAATTTTTTTGCAGAGCTGGGTTTAAAATGTTTTGGGATTTGCAGGTCTCAATTACTCAACTTTGGTTGTAGTGAGAATGCAGCCACAGACAATATTAAGCGAATGAACCTGGTTGCATTCTGACAAATTTTTATTCATAGATACTTTCACCTGTCACAGAATTTTCTTTCCCAACCATTAAAAAATGTAAAAACCATTCTAGCTCATGGGTCTTACAAAAAAAGGCAGTGGGCCATATCTGACTGTAAGATGCAGCTTGGAGACTGCAGTTCTGGGCTGGTAACTGATAGGTTAGTGGCTGGAGATGCTGCTGACACATCAAGATAGGGACAGGATCAGAAGTGTGGATCCCTGATTCCAAGAAGCCAGGCAGGCAGGGAGATGAGAGGTCATTACTTTCCTCATTCTTGGTCCAGTTACACACAGAAATGGTCCCTGGGGTTACAAGACCATGAGGTGGGGTCAGACCCTGGGGACAGGGGGAGGGAGGCTGGCAGTGCTAGAGCTGCAGTCCCTGGGAGGGCTACTCTCTCTCAGGGTGGCAGCTGGGACACATGCAGGTGCAAGATCTCCTCTGCTCGCTTCAGGTACTCAGCCGCCTTCTTCTTCACCCCTTCCCGGCGGGCAGGGGATGGATCACCTGTGAAGAGAGCATGGGCTAGTTGAGGAACCTGGCCCAGCTGCTTCAGAATCCCTGCTGAGCCCTTGCAGTTCACAGAGTATTACCAGGTGCCCCTTTCCTGGATCCCAGTGTCTTTTCTCCCACTGAGACCAGAAGAAGTTAAAAAAGATCTCCGCAAGATTATCTGGCTGGTCAGTCAGGAGCAGGGGCTTCTGGTTCGGTAACCCCTTTGTACCCCACTATAACCTTCTCCCCACTCCATCTGGGGCTCCAGGCCTGCCCCTCCACCCTCAACTTCCCACTTACTGGACACTCCCCGAAGCAGGATGTGCACACCATCTCGGTAAGCCTGGAGGGCAGCAGGGTAGGCACCTGCCTTCTCGTCCCGAAGCGCCTGGGTGATGAGCTCCGTGGCCTGACTCAGATAGGCAGGGGTGGGCCCTCTTTCCTCATCCTCTTCCTCTTCCTGTCCTCCTGGCTCCCAGGGTTCCTGGTCCAGCCTTTTGGATTCTACCTCTGTGGCTGCCAGCTCACCTACATGGGTGGGACTGGGGCCCAAACCTTCTGCAATAAGACAGGGAGGACTCAGACTGGACTGGCCTTTCCTTTCCCTGGGCCCACTGCCAATCCCCAGACATCTCTCGCTGATCATGGTTCCAGTCTGTCCCTAGTAGAAGGGAGCAAAGATTGGACAATCCAGAAGTCAGTTTTTGTACAGAAACTATGACCTCTTTGGTTGGTGGGGTTCAAGTACTTTTGGAAATTCAGTCTTACCTTCCTAATTCTTTCTTTAGGGAAGAAACTTTCTTTAGTTTCTGAGCTCTTGGTCACTGCTCCTGTTTACTTCCTAACTCCAGTTGGCCTAGACATCCAAGAATTCCCACTGCAAAGTTCAACTTAAGGATGGTAAACCACACACAATGGCCAAAGATAGAAATGCGCCAAGTCTTGGAATAATCTCAGAACAATGAATTCAGACAATCTCAGCGCTTTTATTTTTTTGAGACAGGGTCTCGCCATGTAGTCCAAGCTGGCCTTGAACTCACAATGTAGCCCAGGCTGGCCTCAAATTTGTGGTGATGCTCCTGCCTCAGCCTCCTGAGTGCTGGGATTACAGGCTTGCACCACCACGCCCAGTTCAGCACTTTTTTTGTAGTACTGGGGATGCAGCTTAGTGCCTCACGAAGTAAGAGCTCCACCACCAAGTTACATCACAGCTCCTCAGGGTTTTTTTTTGAGATCTTGTACTGTCACCCCAGGATCCCAAATGAGGGACTCAATATATTCCCAGGTCTGGCTCAGAGGTGGCCAGACATCTTCCAGCAGCTCTCCTGAGTGCCATTAGATTGGGTGAGTTTTTGGTGAAGAGGCCTTTGGCAGAAGGTACAGGAGCAGAGAGCATGATGGCAGCCCATCCTGGAGAGGGAAAGGGTGGGCAGCTCTCCAGCTCCATCAAGTGGGGAGTCCTACAAAGAGACCAGGGGCCTCCTGCAGGCAGACAAGAGGATGCCTCCCTCCCAGCTGGGTCTAAGACCTTCCTGTGTTAGGGGCCAGGGATTTAACTCAGTGGTTCCACCGCCTGCCTCACAAGCACAAGGTCCCGAGTTCGATCCCCAGTACCAAAAAAACCCCAAAAACCAAAAAACTACACACACACATAAGACCTCCCTGTATTGCTCAGGGGCAGTGAGCACAAAAGTTGAGGGGCCCTGACTGAGTGTAGGAGCTTCCAGCAGAAGGGACAAGGACCTGGGAGCATTTCCATGGGCAGAGAGAATGATTCATGGCGCTACCTGTCAGGGTCTCACAAAACTTCTTACAAGTAGCTCCCCACTGGTTTCCCCAGGGGGCTCAGCTGGGCAAGGACCAAGTGTCTGGATACCTGTCACTCAGCGATCAGGTACAATAGCCCCAGTGATAGCACCTTCAAACCCTTCTTCCCCCTCCTCAACCCTGGAGTGGGAAGCAGGGAAAGAAGCAGAGCAAGAAAAGTAGCAGGGTCTGGGGAATGTAGCTCAGGAGCAGAGTTCTTCCCTAGATGTGTCCCTGGATGCCATCCCCAGCACAGAAGATGAAGAAGACGAAGAAGATAGAAAAGGAGGAGGGGGAAGGGGGATTGGGGGGGGGAGAAAGAGCAGGAAGAAGAGGAAGAAGAAAGAAGGAGGAGGAAGAGGAGGAAGATGACAATGATGACAAAGATCAAGAAAGGAAAAGTGGCTCGGGGGGGGGGTGCTGTACCTTGTAGTCCCAGCTATTCAGGAGGCTGAGGCAGAAGGATCACTTGACCCCATGAGTTTGAAGCCAGCATGGGCAACTTACTGTCTCAAAAAGAAAAAAAAAAAAAGAGGCCTAGGGTTGTAACTCAGTGACAGAATGCTTCCCAGGCATGTACAAGCCCCTGGGTAAAAGGCTGCTCTTCACACCCTGGTCCCTAGGGCTAGGAGCTGGGCCACTGGTCAGGCCTGATTCAGTGAGGCTGCAGGCGGGATGGGAAACTAACATCCCGATTTGGACTGGCCAGGCTTTTCCATCCCCATGTGAGACTTCAGATTCCTGAAACTGATCAGAAAGCCCAGGGTGGTGGGGCTTAAAAACACTCTTGAAGAATCAAAAAAGTAACTGTTTCATGATTTTCCTGAAGTGATGTCAGTTGCTTTAATATCTGGGTTGGAGGTAGAGCATAAATCTGGTGAATTTCAGACTGAAAAATCCCAGTGTCTCTGTTCTGGGGACTGTCAGGTACAGGGTCCCAGAGAAGGAAGGTGCTCAGGACCCTTATCTGCACAGGTAGCCCAAAGCGGCTCCAGGTCTCCAGAGGGGGTTCCCATGGCTGCAGTTCAAACCTCCCAGAGAAACGAGGGCCCGCTCCACCAGGGCATTCTTAGAGGAGGACCCACCATGGGAAACAGTGCAGTTCCCTCCACCACACTCACCATACAGGGGCACCTGGCTCACTGAACAGCCCTGGGATGGGATGGTGGCACCTGGAAATAAGCTTCTACTGTTCACCAAGGCGGCCCACTGCCTGTGGGCAGTGTTGCCAAGAGGTCCCTTTCCAGGATTTACATAGGTGCCATTCAGGCTGGCTGGGGACCCAGCCTCCCTCCCTGGCCCCAGGGAGCACCTACCCCAGCCCCTGCTGTGTACATCCACTGGTTACCTTCCTTGGAGAAGGGGTCAAAAAGGGCAAGCTCGGCCTCGGAGAGGGGACCCCTGGCAGGGGAGCCTGATGCCTCCTCCACGCTGCCACAGCTAAAGAGGAGATCCAGAGCCTCCTGTGCAGGGCTGGATGGTGTGGGATCCACTGAGGAGAGACCAGCAGGAACATGAGTGCTGCGCTCACCACTTCCCAGCTTTCAAACTGGAACCACCTTCTCACTAATTCCATCAGCAACCATGGGCGTAGAAAAGCCTATTACTAGTATTTGTGCCCATTTTACAGATCAAGAAACTAAAGCCCAGAGAAGGAAAATAACCCATCCAAAATTCTTCAGTGGGTAAATGGCAGAGCTGAGCCTGAGTTTTTCACGGAGATCACTGAGGAGGGAGTGTGAGCCCAACACTCCACCCTGGGACACCTTCCTGGGCCACCCTGGGTCCCTCCACAGCTTGAATGTACCTGGTACCTCCAACTCCTCTAAGCCCCTCCTTTCTGCAGGGAGTGGCTGCGGGAGCCGGGGATCATCGGGAGGTGGAGTGGGAATCAAAGGGGGTGGCAGAATGTGCAGGTCCTTGGATACCTCAGGAGGCCGTATCACCTCCCCACCCTGCAGGAGAGAAAGGTTGGGGGAGGGCATCAGGGGTGCAGTGTGGCAGGCTGACTTCCCAGGCTAGAGGGATGGGAGAGTGGCACTCGTACCCGGAAGAATTCCTTGAGTTGGGGGCTGTTGTTGAGCGCAGGGATGTGCACGGTGAAGCGAAGCAAGTCCTCAGCTGCCTTTCGCCGCTCCTCGATCACCGAGGCCTCGAATCGGCCTGCAGTCGTCCAGGACAAGTGAGCAGGCAGAGCAACAGTGACCTGCCTGTCCTGCTTCTGTCTGGGAGGCTCTAAGTGACTTCTGCTCTCCACCCCACTTTCCGTTCAGCCTTCCCTGGCTCCTTCTGGAGGGATCCTCTCCTTATTCATTCTTTCCACAGAGGTTTACTGAGCACCTCTGTGCTGGGTTCAGGGATGTGTGAGAGAGAAGCACGGCCTCTGCCCTCAAGGATTTCAAGTCACAGACAAGGGGAGGCAGGGAATCAACAAGAAACAAAAATCACTTCATTTGGCTTTGATATAATGATGAGGACAAGACAGGAAGACTCCAATGTGGGGAAGTGACTTGCCTGAGGCCACATACCAAGCAGCAGTTTCACTGCTCAGTTCTAGGTGCTGTGTAGAGATATCTAACCCTACCTTAGTCACTGGTGCTGCCAGGGCAAGGAGCCTACTGTTCTTCCCCCTGGCCTGGCATCAACTACCAGCTGCAACCATTCACCTTGCTTCAAGACCATCTCATGCGAGTCTGGGACTCATGTAATTATGGGATGAATGGTTAATGGGTTATCTTGAGAGTGGGTGCACTATAAAGGTCAGTTTGAAGAAGTTTCTCATGTGCGCCCTGCTTCTGGTGGCCATGTGATGCTCTGCACCTCTTGGGTCTGCCAAGGAGAAGGCCATCACTAGGTGCTGCTCCTAGACCTTGGACCAGAACCACATGCCAAAATAAACCTCTTTTCTTTACAGATTCCCCAATCTGTGCTATTGTGTTATTATCAACAGAAAATGGACTAAGACACAGGCCAAGGCCCTTTACCTCGATGAGCCTCAGTTTCCTCATTTTAAAAATGAGGCCAATAGGGCCAGAGATTTAGCTCAGTGGTTCTGGTGCCTGCCTCGAAAGCACAAGGTCCCGAGTTCCATCCCCAGTACCAAAAAAAAAAAAAGACTAATAAAGCTAGGAATGTTCAAGGTCCTGACACACAATAAGAGCTACGCTGCTCTGAACCTCAGTGCCCCATCTGTCAAATATGTCCATCTTTGAGGGCCCGTCCAGCTCTCCAGTGTGGCTTTGCCCAGAGTTCTGGGCCCCTTTTCTCCAGCCCCCACTGGCCTACATCTCCCTCACCTTGGGCCTAAGGGCTCAGCTCTGACACTCACCAAACACCTGGCCACGGGGGAAGGCTGGGAACTCCTCAAGGCGTCGGAAGAGGTTGCGGTGGGTGTAGGCCAGGTCCCCATGTAGCTTGCGGAAGTCACTGTACCGCTTCCAGACCACCACCTACGGGGGGATGTGAGGCTGGAGGGTGGGAAGCACCTTCCCGAGGCCAGTTGTGCCAGTCTGTGAGAAGAAGGTGTGGGGTGGGGGGGTACTCCTCCCAGATACCAGCTGCTCTCTTCCTGTTTCCAGACCTGAAATTGGGGGACAGTCCCCCTGCCTCACAGGAGTCTCACCTCTTTGATATCCTCAGGGTCTTTCTTTGAGATGAACTGAGAAAGAAAAAAGCAAGAACCGGGTGAGACCTGAGGCTGACATCTGACCCCTCTTTTGCTCTGTGAAAGCTGACAAAAGCCCCAGAGGCCTCCCAGTCCCCCTCAAAGGGACAGTGCCCTTTGGCATCAAGGTGTCCCGGCTTTAAGGCTTTGAGTGTAACTTTGAGCAACTCTTCTACTATGCACCTCAGTTTCTCAATCTGTTACATGGGAGGAGTCATAAAGGCCTGGCTAGACTGCTCTATCCTCAACTTTTACCCCACTTCCTTCAGTTCTCTCTCTCTCTTTTTTTTTTTTTTTGGTGCCAGGGATCGAACTTGAGACCTTGCACTTGTGAGACAGGCGGCAGAACCACTGAGCTAAATCACTGGCCCCAACCCCACTTCCTTCAAAAAGCTAAGTGCTTGCATCTCCAAAAACCAAAGAACCCCAGGTTGCCAAGGAAATGAAGCTGTGTGCCAGGAGCCAGTCCTTCCCTTCTGGAGGAAGCCCTGGGCTCAAACACCTTTGAATTAAAAAGCCACCACTGAGGATGGCCAGCCTAGAAGAGGAGACTTGGGTTTCAGCCGGAAAGAAGACTTGGTTTTCCTTATGTTATTTTCATAATAATTTTAAAATCATGTCCTACAGTATGGAGTACTTGGAGGTTTGCAAAACAGTGTTCCTTCTCCTAGATCCCAGCAAGGCAGAAATGAAGAACATGGCTATCTAAAAGATAAGAACATGGCAACTCAGAGTGGGGATGTGGCCAGACAAGATCATACCCCAAGGCAGAGAGACTGCTAGGACTAAAACCCTAGCCTTGGCTTTTGACAATAGGCTTGCTTAAAATATTCAGGTAAAAAAAACCCCAAAACTGGCTAGTCATGATAGCACACAGCTGTAATCCCAGCACTTTGGGAGGCTGAAGCAAGAGGACTGCAAGTTCAAGCCCAGTCTGGGCAATTTAGTGACTTAGCAAGGCACTATGTCAAAAAAAAAAAAAAAAAAAGGGCTGAGGACGTAGTTCAGTGTGAAAGCCCCAGTTCTAATCCCCAGAACTACAAAAAAACAAAAACAAATTACATTTAAGAACCATTGAGAGCCAGGCATGATGGTGCACACCTGTAATCCCAGCATTTGAGAGGCTGAGACAGGAGGATTACCTTGAGTTTGAGGCCAGCCTGGGATACATAGTGAGTTCAAGGCCAACCTGAACTACATAGTGAGACCCTGTCTCAAAAAACAAAACAAGGGCCCAGGATTTAGCTCAGGGGTTCCTGCACCTGCCTCTCAAGCGCAAGGTCCCCAGTTCGATCCCAGTACCAAAAAAAAACAAGGGCTGGGGATTTAGCTCAGTGGTTCCACCACCTGCCTTGCAAGTGCAAGGTCCCAAGTTTGATCCCCTGTACCAAAACAAGACAAAAATCTTCTGCTAACCATCCCCAGAGACCTTTTCCTCTCCTTGGAGGCCTCCATTGTAACCAGCTCCTGAATATCATTCTACAGATACAACTTTACACTACTTTATTTTAAATTTTTTCCATGGTCTCCTCCATGTCTCTATATACAGTGAGCTTACAATACTTTTGTTTTTGAGACAGGGTCGCCAATCGAACTTATAATATTATTCCAAACATCAATTCTGACTTTTACCTATTGACTTCCTGAGATGATCACGAAGTTTTAGACTTACGTAAGTCCATTCGGAAGTGTGAATTTTTAAAGCTACAGATCGGTGTTATTTTTAATTAAAAGTAATTAAACTGTTTAAAGTGCTTTTACTTTACCATTAAACAAACCAAAAACCCAAACTTATTCCAAGAGACTGCAGAACTAATATGTGAGTTAAGCGAGAGTTTTCATGTTAGCGTAGAGAAATTCATAGACGGATGCCCAGACACCACACACCTACGTAGTGGGGGGCGCCCACTCCTAGCGGGTCCCACGCCTGCGGGCCACGCGCGTTTAAAAGGAGCAAAGATCACTGTGGCCCCGCCCCCTATGGCGACCGAGGTTAAAGGAACGCTCCTCCCTCAGGATCCCCTTAAAGGGGAAATGCATTTCTATCGTCCAGAAAGGGAGCTTTCTGCGGAGCCCAGTCTTAAGGTAAAACACTGGCCCGTTTATTTAAAAGGGTAAGGTCCCCTCTGGACCCCACCTCACCTGCGCGGTGACTTTGTACTCGGTGTAGCCCTTGGGGTGGGTCCTGGGGTCGCAGACTGTGTAATGTCGTAGAAAGTCATCCTTCGCCTGGCGAGACATGACGGCCTAGGGGAGCAGCGCTGACCGCTGGAGCACCGCCCCCGCCCCTCGGTTCGGCCTACGGCAGCCGCCGCCCAGCCCGGGCCTGCGCCCTGCTTCTCCTGGCTCAGGGAGCTAGTCTCAAAGGACAATTCCGTTTTCTGTTCACTCGGGGCCAAGGGAGCGTCTGAAAAGTTCACTGTTATTGATAAAACGTAAACCTAGGTAATTTGCGAGTATTGGTGGGGGAGGTTCTGGTCACACTTTGCGGGCCAAGGGACCCATCATATACCAGTGTAAACCCTCCTCACACACCTCCAGTGACTTGTCCCCTACTTTGCTTCTTCCCTCCGTCCACCCAATTTTTATTTATTTATTTATTTTAAATTTTATTTTTATTATTTTTGAACTGAGATCTCTCGATGATGTTGCCCAGGTTGACCTTGAACTCCTGGGCTCAGGCGATCCTCCTGCCTCAGCCTCCTTAGTAGCTGGGATTACAAGCACGTGTCAACAGACCCAACTTTTGTTGTGTCCAGTATGTGCCAGACAGCCAAATTGTTAACACACATGCCTCCACAGGGTTCTCTAATTCATGTTTTGGGTTTTTTTGGTACCGGGGATTGAACTCAGGACCTTGCGCTTGCGAGGCAGGAGCGTGTTGCCACTGAGCTAAATCCTCGACCCTCTAATTCATGTTTTCTGGAAGCACGGGGAAAGCAAAAAGGATGTTAGAGAAGTGAGATGGTGTCAGAACTCTGAAGTCACAACTCTTACTAGATCTTGGAGTTTGCTTTTAACTGCTTGAGGCTCCACTTCTCCTCGGTAGAATGGGATGTTTGTAATACTGGGAAAGAGCAGAAGCACCTGTCTCTCCCCTCTTCCTGGCAGCAGGAAGGGGGTGGTTTGGCCTACAGTTGCCATGCCCCACCCACTTACCTTAGCCTCCTCTTGCTCCTAAAATGGACTGCGACAATTTGCCTCAGTGTCTTCTCCAGCAGCCAGTCTCCTTCCAGACACTCGGACAGGAGGTGCAGTTTAGCTGTCAGCCACAGTACCCCTTCCCCACTCTGGCCACTCCAAAGGCTGACATCCTTTTTTGGGGGGAAGGGCACCCTGACACGGCCAAGATCAGGGAGAAAGGGATCCGGGTTCACTATTAATATACTCAATCTCCCCAAGCCCCAGTAAACTGTGATGAACACAGCTAGCCCTCCTGAAAATTCCCATTTTGATCTGCCATTTTTTGTGGAGATGTGACAGGTGTCAATCAAACAGTTCTTGTAACCCCTGCATTTCTTTGAACTGCTCCCATGGCAGCTGCAGCTGTGCCGGCCATTCTGCATTCCCTTGGACCAATCACAGGCCTGCACTTGGACCAATCACAGGCCTGCAGCTGCTATATAAGCATCACTCCCCCTCAGTCTCCTTAGAGGGCCTCCTCTGGTTTACTGACCCCCTGTGCTACTGCACAGGTCCTTCAAAATAAACCCTCATTTGGGTGGTCTTACAATCTGCTTGGGATTTATTTCTCAGGTAGTGTGGGCTCTGAAGAGCCTGTAGATCTATCCTGAGTAGTATGACAGAATGGTTGCTTTATTTTGTTTTTTGGGTTTTTTTTAAAGAATAAGTTTATTTTATTTAATTTTTTTTCTAGTACCGGGAGAATGGTTATTTTAAAAAGGAAGAGGAATATGAAGTAGAGGCTTTGAGCCCTGGAGAGTTTTAGAGACCAATAACCAACAAAGATCAGCAACAAACAGCAGCCACCAGCAATGTTGACTGATAGCATCTAGCACAAGCTGGCGTCAAACAGTGCCGGCTGACAGTGGCAGAGACCAGCAGCTGGTAGTATTGACTGTTGGCATCCAGCATTGACTGACGTTGACATGTAGCATCAAACAGAGCTGCACTTCATTCATGATTTTTATCTTCTGAATCAAGCAAAAGAACCTTCAAGGAATTGAACTATACAGCCAGACCTTGTCTCAAAAACCAAAAATCAACAAAACCAAAACCAGCCATGACTCTTTATGGGCTTACAGGTAGGGTACCATAGGTAACTAGAAGTAGAATGAAGCTTGACCTTCATTTTGTATCCTTTCTTACCTTGAAACTCTGGATATAGGTATATTAATCATGCAAAACAATGTTTATTGGCCCTAAATTTACCTAACCTATCTCATCTTACTTCAATGGGTGAGGACACCAAGAGACTTACAGGGTCATTTAGCTGTGCCCTGAAGCTCCACTGCCCCAAACCTAGAGTCACCTTGGGTTCCAGCAGAGCCTCACAGGGCTGAGACCACCCCAGGCAGAAATAATCTATGGGAACCAAGAAGCCCACAAGCCATGGGATTCCTCCAGAGCTGTGCAAAGCAGGGCTGAGATAGTGACCCACAGTCCTGGCCCACCTCAGCTAACCCTAAGGAGCTGGCCCCCTGCTTTTGTGAGTGACCAGGCTGAACTCCTGCGTCAGAGTGGGGTTCACTCTGGAGGGTTCACCCCCTCCGGCTTGTCTAGCGGGAGTCTTTCCTAGTCTCCTGCATTGCCTGACTCTGCATGATAAACCTGTCTATGCCTCACTCTGATGAGACTTGAAGTTCTTCCTTTTTCCATGATGTGAATCAAGAACCTGCTCGGGGGTCGGAGATTTAGCTCAGTGGCACCGCACCTGCCTTGCAAACATAAGGTTCTGAGTTTGATTCCCAGTACCAAAAAAAAAAGAACCTGCTCAGCAGGCTGAGTTGAGATCCCCATCTCCTCTTTGTGGGGCTCCCTCAGACCTGTATGGTGACAGAACCACATTGCTTGACCCTCTGTAAATGGATAAGGCCTTCATGGGTCCCTCCAGAGATCTACAAGTTGGTGATATTGGCACTGTCCCTCTGGGCCCAGTGAAGAACAGTTGTCAAACCCAGCTCAGTGGTCACTGGTGCTGTAGTCAGTGTGTTACAACTGGAGTAAAAATCTGTTGAAAGGCACCACAAAGTCACAGGCTCTAACATCATTGTGTGAGTGAAGTGTTCCTGGTAACTTGTTCTTAGATCCCAGAGGGATGAGTGCTGGGCCCCAGTCTCTGAGGAAAAACAAAGATGACTCCAGAATGAGATGCTGGAGGGTCTGAAAGGGGATGGTTTTTAGCCAGGTGTGGTGGTACATACCTGTAATCCCAGTACTCTGGAGGCTGAGGCAGGAAGATTGCAAGTTCAATGCCAGTTTCCGACACACAGTAAGTTCAAGGTGAGCCTGGTCTATATAGCAAGACTGTATCTTATAGACAGAAAGGAGAAAAGAGAGAAGACAGAGTGGAGAAGAAAAGAAAATGAAAGGGGGTGGTTCATGCAGGAGGCAACTGGGGAGGGGGCTATCCTCCTGCATACTACACACCAGGCAGGACTCCACTGAAGAACCCCCCTCCCCGCCCTTTTATTTTTTGAGACAGGGTCTTGCTACTTCAAGGTCAAGATGGCCTTGAACTATATAGCCCAGGCTGACCTCAAACTTGTGACCACCCTCCTGCCTCAGCCTCCTGAATGCTGAGATTATAGGCATGCAACACCATGCCCAGCTGTAGACCTGTTTTACATGGTTCCCGCTCTCTGGAGTTTACCTGGCAAGCCCTGGCTCCAAGTCTTCTTGCTCACATCCTTCCCTCTGGCTGGTGTATCCCATGCTCCCCAATCTTCCTCTTCCTTCTCCTGTTGTCCAAGCTCTTCCCATCTATAGCAGTGTAGCCCCTGGCCTTCTCCAGCTGCACCTGCCTGGTCACCAGGAGGTGCAAACCCAGCTGGCAGGAAGAGGAGAGAGGAAAGACTCTGCCTGACCATGCTATGGAGACTTCCCGCCCCAGCCCAGACTCCACCACAGACCTCTGATGAGCAAAATCTTGCCCTTGGCAGATCCCTGACTGCAGAACTCCCCTTGCCCATGAAGAGTGTTTTTCCAGGAGCTCGGATATTGGGCATGGAAGGGCGGTTTGCTCGTGTGCATCCTGCATCCTTTTTCCTTCTGCCCTGATGAGAGCCAGCTTTTGTGCAGTCTGGGAGGGGGTCTGTGCTGTGGGCCTCTGGAGGCCCTGCAGTGGGTCCTTCCTCTGGGGGAAGCGAGGAGGGAACTGGGGGAGAGATCCTTGTGTCACTTCCTCACCTTTCCTTTCCCTTCGGCCCTTGGGCAGAGTGCACTGGGCATGTTGGGTGGCAGGTGTCCACCATGGGGCGGGCCTGTGCACCAACCCTGCCATTTGGATTTCAAGCAGAGATGGTCAGGCCTGGGCTCTCACTCGAGGCAGCAATGTGGAAGGGCCGAGTGTGCTGGGGTCTGGGCTCAGCTCCCATTCTAGCCAGGTAGCTTGGAGTGAGCTGCTCGCCTCTGTGAAAGGGAAGGGGATGCTGGTGACCACACTGCATAGGGCTCAGCTCCCCCCACCCTCACCCCACCTCATCCCTCTGGAGCTGGGGATGGAACCCAGGGCTTCACGAATGCTAGGAAAGTTCTCAACCCCTAGTCCTTTGCTCTAGAACTGTGATTCTCTCTCGGACTCCTGAGTAGCTGGGTGGCATGTGCCATTGTACTTGGCCTGTGGGGGCTGCTTAGCAAAGAGCTCTGGCCCCTGCAGAGATGCAGATGATGGCCCTCTGCAGGTGAAGACAGATGCCCATCACTCTTGCTGCTTGGATTGAGACCTGAGGGTGTCCCTGCTTCAGAGGGCTCTGTAGCCTTCAGGAAAGGCCCTAGCTACCCCTGCCTGATGTAGCCATCTGCCCTCACTCTTCCTACACACCTCTTGTACCCAAGGCCGTACCACATTTCCCAGGAGCCCTTGCTCTTCATGCTTCTGCTTGAACTGTGATGCCTCATACAGGTATGCAGGTTGTCCACTGTACAAGGGGGCCTGGCTGCAATGGCAAGTTGGGAGCTGAATTTCAGTGTAGTTGTTCAACAATCTCCAAGCCCTGGTCTGGGGCTGCGTTCCTTTCTCTAATTCCCACCAGTGGGGGAGGGTTGTAGTCACCTTGGTGATCTGCCCTCTAATCTTCTACCCAGACATCTTCCTGCCTCCTTCACTAGGGACTTAGCATTACCTCCCCCAGGGAGGCCCCAGGCTTTTTCACGTGTTAATAGCTACAGCCCTGTCCTGAGCTTCTGCAACCTCTGCACATCCCTCTGACCCCACAGCAGTCAGCTCTGTCCTTCCTGTCCCCTGTTGCACTCTGGGTTCCCAGGTAGTCTCTGAATGGTAGAGTCACAAATGAGCCAGGCAAGGAGTGCTTTATTCTCACCACAGTGCAGGATGAGGAGAGGCCTCAGTAGCAGCAGCAGTGCCCCCTCCCAGCCCCAGTGCTTTCCTCCTTGGCCCTGGGAGGGCACTGGGCAGCAGCAGCAGCAGGTTCTGGTGGACAGGGGGTGGCGTGTTAGTCCACTGGCTGGCACCCATGCCCTTTGGGTGGTGTGGGTGAGGGCTGGAGCCTGGGCCACGAGACGGGGACATCTGGAGTGACTCAGTCAGCTGTGAAGATGCGACTGGAGATGTCGTCCAGCAGCCAGTCGATGCCCAGCAGCAGGTTCTCCCCAGTGACAGCGCTGCAGCCCTGAATGCACCAGTGGTGGCTGCGGATAGAGTCCAGCTCCAGGGCCTGGGGACGCAGATGTGGTGGTGTCAGGTACCATGGCTCCCGCCTGGCATGCCCATCCCCTTCCCTGGCCCTGGCAAGTGCCACTTCTCTAAGGCCACCTCATCCAGGCAGCCTCTGCTGGACCCTTGTGAGGGTTGCCACCCACCAGGGTACTTGGGCTTTCCATGGCACCATGCCAGTGACACCCTGGGTGACATAAAAGTAACATGGGCTCCTGAGTTACTGTAGGACCCAGGCATTGTGCCACATGTGCCAGTTCATCCATTCTATTTTACCATCTAGGGATTGTGTTGGCCATTGTACCAAGGAGGACACCAAAGTTCAGAGAGGTTAAGCGACCTGCGTCAGGTCACACAGCCAGAAAGTGACAGAACCACCATTCTAAACTGCTCTTTCTCATTCTGGTGTTTGCCCATTGGAATAATGGTTAAACTGCAGGCTGCAGGGTTAGAGTGGATGGGTTTAAATCTTGACATGTCTACCTACTGGCTAGATGACCCTGGGCAAGTCACCTAACCTCTCTCGAGACTGCTGTGCCATCTGTAAAATGATAGTTGTTCCTACACATCCTGAGGCTGTGGTGAGAAGGAAATGAGTGATCCAGCATCACTAGCCCACACACTGTGGGCTCTTGGCACCCTGTGGAACAATCTGTTTGTAGGCCCAGGCTATGGTCACCCCTACACCTTAGCAATCACTGAACACAGCATGAATAAAGAATTCTGTGCCCTGTTCCTCAGTGAGCCTACCCCAGGGCCTGGCCTCACCTCTTGAATGGCATTAGAGGACAGTGCTCCGGGCAGGTCCTGCTTGTTGGCGAAGATGAGGAGGGTAGCTCCAGCCAGGCGCTGGGGAAAGAAGATGCGGGTGGCTGGGGCTCTGAGGGCAGCCTGGACCCTGTTGACTGGCCCAGGGAATTGCAGTCAAAGACCAGGCTAGAAGATCAGAGGAAGGCTGGAGGGGTGGGACAGGCCTGGGGGGTGGACAGAGGGGATAGCCATTGAGGCCAGCCCCACCCAGTGGGCACTGCCCTCCTCTGTGCCTGTTTCCCCTTCCGTGAGCAGGGGAGGTTGCTGGGCAAGGTGGTCTGAGGCTTCCACAGTTCTAGACAGCTCAAGTCTGACAGCCTGGCATGCAGGGGCACCAAGTTTCTGGCCCCCTTTCCCTGTTCTGCCTCTGATCCTATGACATCCACATCTGTGTCTGTAGCCGGGGGTCCTTGGGGTGGGTGAGGTGATGCAGCCCTCTGGGCCTCCACCCACCAGGCCTGGCTTAGCATCTGACACCCGGGGAGGGGTACTGTGACCACATGTCCCTGTGAGCCCAGGACAGTCCATGGATGCTCCCCGGAGAGTTACTACCAGCTCCCTCCTTCGTTCTCAATGAAAAGCACTACAGTAAACAGAATCAAATCCTAGAACAAATACATTAGTGAAAAAATTGGTGAAATCCAAATAAGATCTGTATTTAAAATAATAGTAATGAGCAAATGTTGCTTTCTTGGTTTTTTTGACAGGTACCCCGATGCTATGTGACATGTTAATATCAGGCAAGTGGGGTAAAGGGCATCTGGGGTATCACTGTACCTTTTCTGTAAATGTGAAATTTTACTTAAAGAGAAGTGTTTTGGCCCAGACAATAAATTACAGTCAGCTTACCTGTAATTCCCATGGTAGGGATGTGGAAGTGGAAGCTCAGAGTGGTTAAGTGCCTTCCTGAGATCACACAGCAGAGTCACAGCTTTACACACTGGCCATAAGTTAGCTCCCTGAAGGCCCCTAGTGTAACCCCCCCCCTTTCTTTTTGTTTTGTTTTGTGGTACTGGGGATTGAACCCAGGAGCACTGAGCTACATTCCTAATCCTTCATATCTTTCATTTTGAGATAGGGTTTTTGCTAAATTGCCTGGCCTGGATAGAAACTTGCAATCCTCCTGCCTCAGCCTCCCAGTGGCTGGCATTACAGGTCTGTATCACCCAATCAGGCTTGTCATCTCCAAGATAAACAAACTCAGGGTGGTGAAGCAGTGAAACCGAAGGAAGTAAAGGATATGAACCAGGGCTCACTTCACAGCATGAGTCCTGCCTGTGGCACTGTGGGCCTAGTGAAGAAATGGATCCTGGATCCTGTCTTTTTCTTTTCTTTCAAAATAGGGTCTCACTACGTAGTTCAGGCTGGCCTTGAACTCGGTGCTTCTCCTGCCTCAGGCTTATGATTACAGGTATGTGCCACTTTGCCCGGGTAAGAAACAAGAGCCTGTCTTCCCAGTTCCTCTGAGGTCTTGGGCCCTCTGGGGAGATTGGCTGATGAGCCAATTTTGGGGCTGAAGCAGCAGAAGCTGCCCCCACCCCCAGGCTCCACCCACTGCGCACCTCTTCCACCAGCAGGCCCTGCAGCTCCCTTGCGCAATCCTGCAAGCGTTGCCGGTCAGCACTGTCCACCACCCATATGAGGCCGTCGGTGCTCTCGAAGTAGTTCCGCCAGTAGGAGCGCAGAGACTTCTGGCCACCCACATCCCAAATGTTCAGTTTGAACCTGGGTAGGGTGGGAGGCAGGGTCAGCAGGCCCCTCTCCCAGCCTGCCCCGCCTGCCCGCCCACCCTGGCAGTATGAGGACTCCAGCTCACCCCCGGTGCTCCAGGGTCTTGATGTTGAACCCCAGTGTCGGGGAGATGGTGTCCACGTCTTCCCCATTGAACTTCTTGAGGATGGTGGTTTTGCCAGCATTGTCCAAGCCGCTAGGGCCCGTGGGTTAAGGACAAGGACCCGAGCTCTGGTGACCTCACTTAGGGGACTAATCATTTCCCACCGTGTATCAGAGTTGAGCACATGCACGCTGACCCATCACTGGCCCCTTATAAATGTACAAGTGTCAAGATGTAATTTTATCATCTGTTGACCCAAAACAACAATTTATGCAACAAATATTGGCCGAACACGTACTATATGCTGGGTTCCCTGGGTGTTGGAGGACAAAGTTCCTGCCCTATGAAGCTGCACACTAGTGGGGAGACTGCACTGAGAACCAAGCAATGTTAACTTGGCCAGTACAACAGATGTGGGGTGTGTATGGGGTGTGTCTCAGGCTTTAGGCAAGCTTCTGGGGTGACCTGAGCCGAGGCCTGAAACAAGGGGCCAGCTTTTTTTTTTTTTGGCATGGTACAAGATATCAAATCCAGAGCAGCTCTACCACTCAGCTACATTCCCCAGCCATTTTTCTTTTAAATTGTGAGACAGTCCTTGAATTTGCAATCCTCCTGCCTCAGCATCCAGAGTAGCTAGGATTATAGGTATGCAACAATATAGTTGACTGGGGCCAGCTCTTTGAAGTACCAAGGGAAGAGCAAATATTTGGAGGCAGCCACCTTCATCTCTCCTTCTAGAATGTTCCACACCCTCTGCTGCAGTGAGCAAAAAATAGGTGAGCTTATCGGGAGAGACCCACCCCTCCTACCCCTCTTCTCTTTCTGACACTGAGGGCATCTGTGGCTTGGTATGATGTGGGGGACAGGCCCTGGACTCAGGACCATTTCCTGTTCACCTGACCAGGGCCAGTGACTCCAACCTGTGAAATAGGTGAACAGAGTTATCTTCCCTGGGGCCTAAACTTAGCCCCTGAAAATTGGCTGCAGATGGTTTCCAACCACTTTATCCCATCAATCACGTTCCCCTCTCCCTTGGACCATCCCCACTGGCTGACAAACCAAACCCACTGTCATCTCTTCCTCCTCACATGCAGCAACAGAATCCTCTCTTGATCGTCTCCCGTCTAGTGATTCATCCTTCCCTTTTTTTTTGGTACGGGGATCAAACTCGGGTCCTTGTGCTTGAGAGGCAGGCAGCGGAATGGCTGAGCTAAATCCCCACCTCATCCCTCCCTTTTAAAGCACATTTTATCTCCTCCAGACAGCTACTCATACTCATGGCACCCTCCAGCTTCCTTTCTTTTTCTTTTTTTTTTTTTGGGTACCGGGGATCGAACTAGGGTCCTTGCGCTTGTGCATCAGCTTCCTTTCTTAAATTTGCTCGCATCGCATCAGACTGTGGCTCTCACTGCTCCCCAAACTGGTCCCCAAAGGCCTCCTGCTGCTCTACCCTGACCAGGGAGCCCCTGCCCACAGCACCTGACCTGATGAGCCAGAGTGGCTCACCCTCCTTATGTTCTCCTCCTCCTGGCTCTCTTGTCTGTCCCCACACACTCCCTGGAGGAGTTCCCCCAGGTTCATGGCTCATTTTCCAGCTCTATGCTGATGCCTCCCACTGGCTCCCCTGGACATCAGTCACCATACATACCTGATATTTCTAGGATGTCCTAGAGCAGTGGTGGCAAACCTACAGCACCCATGTTGCTTTTCAAGACAAAGGATAATGTATGAATTTTTTTTTTCTAAACTAAAACCTTAGAATTCAGGTTTAATTGCAATGTTGGCACTTTGTGATAAATAAATGGGTTTTGGGTTGCAGTTTCGGCATTCATCTCTAAAAGGTTCACCATCATTGACCTAGAAGCACTCCTGTGGCCAAAACAGAGCTCAGAACTGTCACCTCCCCCTGTTCTTCCCCTAGCCTTTCCTTCTCCATCACAGCAAGTGGCTGTTTGTCCTGCTAAGAGCTGAGACCAGAAACCCAGGTGTCATCTTGGCCTCACTCCGTCTCCATACTCGTCTCCACACTCACCTCCAATCTGGCAGCAACTCCCACTAGCCCTACTGTCACAATGTCTCCCTACTCCCATCCTAGTCCAAACCACCACCCTATCTCAGCTGCATTAGTGCAACTGCCTAACTGTTCGAAATCATGGCTTCCCCTCTGGTCATCTCACTGAAGAGGAACCCCAAGGACCCAAACTCCTAGTGAGGTGGCTCCCTGTCACCTCTCCTATCTCCTCCAGCCACACTCTACATTGCCTTGAAGGTGGCCAAACTTGTCCTCTCCCTTAAGGCCTTTGCACTGTGTCTTTGCTCTCAACAGTTTGTCCCTAGGTTAGTACATGATCATCTCTCATATCTTTACCCAATGGTCACTTTCTTGCTTTGTTTGGTACCGGGGATCGAACTTGGGACCTTGTGCTTTCGAGACAGGTAGCAACACCAGAGCTAAATCCCCAGCCCTCAATGGTCACTTTCTTACTGTGGCCTTCTTTGACCACCCTGAATTACATTCTTCTCACCCATACTACCTATTTCACTTATTTGCTTTATTATCTCGTTTCCTCCTTCCCTGAATTACAGTATTTCCACAAAGGTAGGGTGTCGTTGTTTATACTCCAGTAGCCAGCACAGTGACTACCTAGCACACAGTAGGCGCTCAATAAATATTTATTGAATGAGTGGCTTTCTGGGCTATTCTCAGAGCTCTTTAAAATCAGACATGAAGTGCACAGAACTTCTCTCCCCGGCCCAGTTGGGGCGGCCGGACCCAGCTGTTAAAGAGTGCAGCGATGGCAACGGGGCTCGACCGGCGGGGTCTTCCTGCCGCGGCAGCACCAAATGGCAGCGGGGCAGCAGGGACCGGAGACCAGACCCAGGTCTGTGGCGTCCACACCCCGGGAGGGACCCCAGGCCGCGGGCGGTTCCGACCCGAGGGCGGGGCAGGGCTGGCACCCCGGGACGGGCAGAGGGGCAGGCCGTGAGGCCAGGGGCCCATGCTTGGGCCGCAGCGAGGATAGTGATGTCCGAGTCCCCTGAGCCCGCCGCGTCCCCCTTACATGAGGGACATCAGTCCTGCGCGGTGCCCTGAGGCCCTTGCCTTTGGCCTTGGGAACCGAGACCCACCCGCCCCGAGCCGGTGGTACGGCCTCCCCCTGCCCCGGACCGATTGGTAGGTCCCACGTGCTTGACGCACTGTGGGCAGCCGGTACCGGCAGGGGGCGCCTGGCACCGCCTGCTCGGCGGGGCCCCTACCCTCGCGGCCCCGGCGCCCGGGAGGATACAGCATGAGCAGTCGCAGCTCCCGTTCTTTCTGCTTCATCTTCTTCAGGATGGTCAAAAGACCCATGGTCCCGTAGCCCCGTCCGGATCGTCGTTTCCTCTAGTCCCGGGACCCCACTCCCTGTTCTTATTGGCCACCATGCCCACTGACAGCACAGCCGATTGGCCGGCTACTCCTTTGGTCCCGCCCCACCGCCACGTGACCGTGAGCGCCCGGCGGAACCACAGCCAGACGTCCTCTAGCGGTTGCTGGGCTCCGGCGCGTAGCGCACGTTAACCCTTCGCCTCCGAGGGCCGGGCGTTGGGGGCACAAGGGCAAAGTCCCTGTCCCTTCCTCCCAGGACCTGAAGACTAGGCCGGGAATGTGAACCTGAAGTTCCTGAGTTGCATCTCGGCAGGGTGGGGACTGCCTGCAGAGGGGTTCCGATCCAGCGGTGTTGACGAGCTCATCCCGGACCAGTGTTTGACCCTGTTTCCTAGAAACTGGGGTCAAATGTTGCTCATCTTGGGCTTTGGCATCAACCTAAATGTACCAGTGAAGGAGCAGAAAATGGGCCTCCTTTCCCGGCTCGCATAGATTCTCAAGGGCAGCAATGCCCTCTAGAGTCCGTTTCGAAGTGTGCGTGGGCGACTTTGTGTTGTTCCGGTGACGGAATAGTCCTTGTCATTTAGAGGACTCAGCGCGCTGCAATGCAGGGAACAGACCCTGCACGAGGGATTGACCTGCCTAAGATGCCAAAGCTTCAGGTTGAGAAATGCAAGTCCTTCTCTTGCTGATGAGGCAGCAAGGCCCAGGTGGGGCTTATCACATGGCTGGCGTGTAATAGGTGCTCAATAAATATTTCTTGTTCAATGATTTTTCCTAAGAGTTTTGTCCTATATCAAGTAAAGAGAAAGTGAGGAAACTGAGCCAAGAGCCGAAGCAGATTGTAAACTTAGAGGAGTGAGAGCCTTGTCCTATTTTTATGCCTTCCTCCAGCCAGCTACAGAGTAATTATGAACAGGCAGCTCTGATGGCCTCTGTCAGCCGGGAGAGGGACAACAGAAGATAGTGGCCAATTTCTGTGTTACCATTTACAACCCACTCTGTACGTTCTCCTTCATCCCCCTGCAACCCTGAAAGATTTCATTGCTGTTTGTAGATATGACTGTGAAGCCCAGAGAGTTGAAGGAGCTTGGGTGAGACTCGGGCTCAGGTTTGGCTGACAGCAAAGTGCACTGTCTTTCTAGGTGCTTCGAGGGAGTCTGCCTAGAGAGGGGTCGCTCAGGAAGGGACCAGAGTTTCCAACGGTACAAAGGGAGGTGCTGGACAGATGAGGCTGGACAGAGAGGGTGGCAAAGTGGGTCCCTTGGCAGACACCACTTAGCCACCGTTAAACACACAGTAGGGGAGAAAGTGAGCATAACTCCTTCTCAAAGATTTCAGAACACAGCTAAGATCAAAACGGGGAATGCCCAGACCCTAGGGGCTTGTCATCCTGTCATCCTGCCTCTAGGAATCTAGGCTATGGAGTTCCAGCCTGGCATTGAACACTGGTGACAAGGAAGTTCGTTCTGTCATGGTTTGGAACTGGGAAAAGTCCTTCAGTGAGGGCTGGTTAACTGGACCAGGGTTCCTGCAGGTGGTGGATTCCATGAATCCTTTAAGAAAGGGTAGGTGGCTGGGTGTGGTGGCACACACCTGTAATCCTAACACTCGGGAGGCTGAGGCAGGAAGATCTCTGTGGGTTCGAGGCCAGTCTGGTCTACATAGTGAGTTCAAGGTCAGCCTGGACTACAAAATGAGACCCTGTCTCAACCAAAACCAAATAAAAAACCAAGAAGGGGAAGTGGAGCTGTGACAACCATGTGGACAGGTGTCCATGACATATTAAGTGAAAAAAAAATTTTAATCTGTTTTCTTTTTAAAATAGCAATCACTGTAAGTATACCCACTAAGCAGTGTTTTTCAAAGTATAGGATGCAGTTCCAAAGTAGATTGTGAAATCAGTGTCACAGAAAGGAGGAACCCTGTGAATTGCTAGTACTTGATTTTGCCTACAAAGACACTGGTTTCATGTGGTTCAACTCAGTAGCATTAAAAAATTTAAGTAGAATGAACAGAACAGAACAGAAAATATTGCTACCTTATCCAGGTAGTGTTCGGCGACACATTTGTCTCACTATGGATCACAGTCACAGATGTCTGAAAATCACTGCAATTTAACTGTTAACTCCAGGAAGTAAGTTGGGGGGGAATTTAAAAATTACTACATTAAGCACTTCAGGATTGTTTCACTGCCACTAGCCTTGAAATAGTTGTTTAAATGTCAGGCTCCAAGTCCTGCCATTCCAAGCTGTTGTAGCTTCCCAGGAACCAAACAGTAGCATTTCAATGAATGTTGACTAAACAAACCACCTTCCAGCTCTGTGAAAGGGAGGAGCTGGGGAAATATCTGGGATAACTTTTTTTTCCTTTTTGGTTTTTTGAGACAGGGTCTTGCCATGTAGTTCGGGGTTGAACTCGCTATGTAGCTGGCCTTGAATTCATGGTGATCTTCCTGCCTCAGCCTCCCAAGTGCTGAGATTACAGACCTGTGCCACCATGGCAGACTGGGTTTATCTTTTTAGTAATTGCCCTTAGCTAAGAAATCAGTGGGTGAAGGGGCTTTTTTAAATGAGGGTAATGCTGGGTGTGATGGCACAAGCCTGTAATTCCAGCACTCTGGAAGGCTGAGGCAAGAGGATCGCAAGCTCAAGACCAGCTTGGGCAACTCAGTGACTTGGCAAGACCCTGTCTCAAAAGAGGGGGGAGGCTGGGAATGTAGCTCAGTGCAGAGGCCCTGGGATCAATCCCCAGCACCATAATCAACCAATCAATAAGTGGATAGGGTAGGGGCCCATGCCAGGCTTTTTTATTTGCCTCCTGGAAAGGAGGAAAGAAAGCTCTCAAAACCCCTGAGAAATACCTTTAAGGAAAAACTGGGAAGATATATAGAGCTATAATTACATATAACAGCTTTATATATATCTTGTTCCCTTCCCCCAAGAAGGATCATGAAATTAAAATATCCAAATCCTGACAGCTGTGAAACTTGCTTTTGAAAGGAGGACTTCTTAGAGCTAAGTGGATTGTAACTTGAGGATAGAGTTCTAGATCATCGTGAAAGGATGTGTTTGTCCAGTGTAAAAAATTTGGTATTATAGCTAGGAGTGGTGGTGCACACCTTGCAATCCTTGCTCTCAGGAGGCTGAGGCAAGAGGTTTGCCACAAGTTCAAGGCCAGCCTGCACTACATAGTGGACCCTGTCTCAAAAAACAACAACAACAGCAAAACCCTCAAAATTTGACATTACAGTTTTAATTTTGCTGAACATGATGGTCCATGCCCGTAGTCTTAGTTACCTGGAAGGCTGAAGCAGGAGGACTGCTTGAACCCAGGAGTTCAAGGCCAGCCTGGGTAGCATTGTGACACTGTCTCAAACATATAAATAAAAAAGAGCCAGCCAGGGATTTAGCTCAGTGGCACCGTGCCTGCCTTGCAAGCATAAGGTCCTGAGTTCAATCCCTGGTATCAGAAAAAAAAAAAAAAAAATGAGCCAAGCATGGTGGTGCACACCTGTAATCCAAGCACTTGGGAGGCTGAGGCAAGAGGATCACCATAAATTCAAGGCCAGTCTGTGTTACTTAGTGAATTCAACCCCTGGGATGTTCAAGTACATAGCGAGATCCTCTCTCAAATAAAAGATATAAATAAAAATGGTATAGCATTTTAATCAGCTATTCTTCACAGATACCTTTATAATCATAAGGAAAACTAATAAAACTTGTCCTGGAACCAAAGGGGAAAACCCCAAGAGAGAAGACCACACTTGGTGGCAGTGCACCTAAGTGTAAGTTTAGTTCTGTTCATCAGTAAACAGAGAACTGAATGGTTGAATGTACAGCCTGAATGCAGAGATGGCAAGCTGCACACAAACCACAGCTCTACCCATCCTGCCCTCACACTCCCAGCCTTGTCTCCCTGGGGGTCTTCAGTACCCAGGGGAGCCCTGTGCCCTGTGCTAGGGACAGACTGTTGAGGGGGGTGTACAACATGAAGGCCACATCCGGAAGCCTCAAATGATGAGTCAGGCTCCCCGAGCAGTTCTATTACAGGTCTAAGCCCAGCTGCCTAGTGTGGGCGGCAGAGGAGGTGTCCTCTCCACCTTCCAGATGACACTAGGTGCCCTTACTCACCCCTGTGCCAGCCCCAGGAGCACATGACATCCCAGAATTTGCCAGAATCCTGGGATTGGGATGGACTTGAAACTTTCCATGCCACGGCTGTGTCCACCTCTCCAGCTGCTTGGGGCATCCTCAAGAGAAGGCTGTGTTGCTGCTTCTGGTCCCACAGGCCAGGGCTCAGGAGTGACAGCGCAGTGGCTGCAGATCTGCCAGGTCCCCAGGCTCTGCTGGGCCTCACTCAGCAAGCTGTCTCCACTCCACCTGGATGGCTGCAGCATCCCTCAACCAGTTCTCTGCTTCCCTTCCCTTCCCAAGGCACGGGGATTGGTTTTTGGTCCTCGGGATGGAACCCAGGACTTGGCTTGTGCTAGGCAAATGCTAGACAATGAGCTGTACTCCCAGCCCTGTGTCAGATTCTCTCTCCTTGGCCCAGAAGCCCAAGGTCTTCTGTGCCTGCTGAAGGGCCCCATTGTTCTCTTGCTGCTCGGCCTCCTGCTCCCCACCTTACCATGCCTATCTGGGCCTGGGGTCTCAGCCCTACCCTCCTCCACCCCAATCAATACCTGTCTCCTCTCTTTACGTCTTTGCTTAAATGTCCAATGTGTCCCCCACCAAAAAAAACCCAACATTTTTTTTGGTGTGTGTGTGCCAGTATCTCAGGGAGGCCTAGCTTGATCTTGATATTTAAACATGAAACTCATCCACCTCACATTCCCCAAATCCTTTTCTGGGCTCTGTTTCCTCCATGGTGCTTATGACCTTCTCCCAGGCTACAAAATTCACTTTATTATCTTCCCACATCCCCTAGAAGGGAGACCAAAGGACAGGGATTTGGATACCTATTTATTTATTTTTGCAGTGCTAGGGATGGAACCCAGCACTACTCACATGCTAAACACGACCTTACCACCGAGCTACTTCTCCTGGACCTCAAATCTTTTTAAAACAGATGTCTCCCAGAATGTAGGACAGGGCTTGCCA